CGGGGCCTTCTTAGGGCCTGGAAGATGGCGGCTCGTGGGACCCTGGGCCTAGTGTTGCCACATCTTCCGAATTTTCCAGAGAGGCTGAAAAACCAGAGTATTCCATGCTAATGCCATTTTGAAATGTTACTTAAGGAAAAAAAAAACCCATAAGCCAAATGAAATACATCTGTGGGCTGCCATCTTGTGACTTCTGCCTTAGCGCCTACCCCCTTGGCATCTGCTTGGGGCTCAGGACATGTTTGTTTGTGGGGTTACCATGTAGAACACAGGATGCTCAGTTAAATTTGAATTTCGGAATGAAACCAAAGAAATTTTTTTAGTATAAATAGGTCTCATGCAATATTTGGGACATATTTATTTTAAATAACTATTGTTTACCTGAAATTCAGATTTCACTGGGCTTCCTGTTTTGTTTAGTTTTACCCCCTTTACAATTTGGCAATCCGATTGGATGCTCACAGAACTCACGGGGGAAGGAAGGCCATCTTTTGGGACGGGAGGTTAGGAGCTTGTAAGTCTCTTCCATTCTTACAAAAGGATGCTAACCCAGCTCTCAGACACTGTCCATGAAGGCTCGTGTGCCTGTGTTTTACTGACACTTGCTCTCCAGGCATTTTCCATGGAAAAGGCCTTGAGCCTGCAGCCACTCAATATTTATCACAAACTTAGTTGAGAGGAACTAAGCTCAGCAGACAGCCACCGTCATCCAAATTCCCAGATAGTATAAAGCAGTGGTTTTAAACCAACAACCTCCCTTCCTTTTTTTTTTTTTTGGTAGCGAAACACTTTTGCTTAAGCAAAATCCCTCGAAGAACTTGGCATAGAAAACAGATAATGGGGAGCTTCTCTCGTGAAAGTGAGGTGTGTGTGTGTGGAGAGTCACACCCTTCCCTGGCACCGAAGGGCTCTAGGGCACCCCAGTTTGAACACGGCTCTAAAGTAGCTTCCTGGATTCAATTCAATCAGCGGACAGCTGAGTGCTGAAGGGCAGAGCCTGCCCCCCGCCCCACCTGCTTTCCCTGAACTTTCCTGAACTTTCCTGAGCTCGCTGGGACTGCTCTGATGACATAGGTCTGCCTCAAAGCTGTTCTCAGACATGGCCCAGCCAGCACTGCGTCGCTATTCTTAGGGATGTTGTTCACTGTATCGCACAACGTTCTCTCTAGGGAAAGCCCAACACCGTCTTTGCTCCGAGAACACTTCTGAGCCTCACGTCCATCCGTACTGCTCTGGGTTTTCATTTCCCAGACAGCGCACAGTCAGATGCGGCTCCCTCCGTTGACAGGTGAAGAGGTTGTCTCACTTGGCCCTCTGTCATCCTCATACTTGGCTCCAGTTTGTACCCACTTTCATCCACTTATTTCATTTTTAGGTTAGGGGTTCCTGGGGTTCCCCACTCCTCCCTTCACCTTCTTTTCTTATGACCTTGTCTCAAAGTCCCCTAATCATTTAGAGCCTAGGATGGTTGCCCCATTAGCCAAAACTATACTTGCGCTTCCTCTGTGCTCTCTCGCCTTGAGATACTGGGTTAGACGCTTCCTTGTCTCTTGGGTCATTTGCTCAGAT